CTGGCAACTGACTCCAGTATTCTCGCCTGGAGAATCCCATGGACAGAGGAGCCTGGCGAGCCACAGGGTCACAAAGGGTCAGACACCACTGACACGACGGAGCACACGAGCGCAGACGCCCTGGTGGTTGAGGCCGTAGGCAGGGGAGATTGGTGTCAAAGTCTCCGGGGTTCAGTTCTAGGTGGGACGGTGTGGGCACGCACATCCCCTCACTGAACGTGGCTGTCAAACCTGGACAGAGCCCACGGAGCAGCTGTGCGAGGACTCTGGCAAGTGAAGGCGAGCAGGAGCCTGGAAGAAAACTGGACTTTGAAGCACCCTCAACTCACTGGCAACTTCCCCACTTTGTCCCTCGTGTCCTGCAGCTTAGACTCAAGGCAGGCTGAGGTCTGGAATAGGCATCAGAGCCACCAGAAAAGCTCAGAGAAAATCCCTCCCATTACGGCTCAAGGAAGAGGGTGGAGAGATGCACAGCTTATTTTTCTCTTCTCTGTCATCCAACACCCAGCCCCCAGGCAGCCCTCAGAGTGGCCAGCTTGGCTTTGGCGATGGCAGTGGGCCCTCAGGCGTTCACGTACCAGTGGAGGGGAGATGTCGTCCCCAACTCGGAGCTGCATGCTCAAGAATGCCAGTTCTTTCTCATGTTTTTTTTCTGTCACCCCCTCCTCACTCCTCTTGGTCCTGGGTATGGACACAGCCCAAGGAAGTACACAGTGGAGCATTCTGATGAAAACCTCTCCCTTTGGCCAAAGACCAAAGGAAGGCATCCTGGGAAATGAAGTGTGTGGGAAAGTGACCCTTACTTGTGTATGATTGCCAAGGGTCAAGCCAAGTGGGTGTGGATGATAAACGGTGTGCCAAAAATCTGAGAAACGAGCTACAGGGCAGACACTGCCCAAGCCCAGAACAACCACACAGGATGGATCTGAAGAGCAACAGAAGACTCTAAACGCTGACCTGACGCAGGAATCCCAGCCCCTGAAGACTGGTCGGAGCCTGCAGCCTGAACACGACTGGTTAGATTGTCTGCTCCAGCCTAAGTATCTACATCTCCATGGGACTCAGACAACATCCAGAGCCTATAAAGTAGTATTCAAGATTTCTAGGATGCAATCCAAAACAATTTGGCATACAAAAGAACAGGAAAATCGCAACTTGTGTTTTGCATGGCACAAAACAATAAACAGAAGCCAACTTGAGATAACACAGATGTTAGGATGATCAAATGAAAATTCAAAGGCAGTCATTATAAAAATGCTCCAGTAAGTATGGGCAAACACTCTTGAAATAAAAAATATAGAAACTTCATCAAATAGAGATATGAAGAAACAAACGGAAACATGACAACTGAAAAATACATAAACAAGTAAAAAGTACCCAGAGGTGGAGTCCCATAGAAGAATGGCGATAACAGAAGAAATTACTAGTGAACATGAACACAGGTCAATTGAAAGTCTCTGCTACTAGCAGGAGGAGAGCTGAGATTAAGAGAAGAAAAACATAGCCGCTGGGACCAGAGGGGTACTATCAGAAGGTCCAATCTTCGCAGACTTGGGATCTCAGAGGGAGACAAGAAAGTGAGATGCAGAAAAAATATTTGAAGACACAATGGCTGAAGATTAGTTAAAGTACATAATCCTACAGGTTTAACATCAGTGAACCAAAGAAACTCAATTGTCAGATACTTCGAGATCAAACTGCTAAAAACTAAAGACAAAGAATTAACTCATGAAAGCAGAAAGAAAAATAACGAATTATTTGTAAGGGGAAAATTATCCAAATGACTTTGGCTGTCTCATCAGCGACCATGGAGGCAGATAGAAGGAGCACACTTGTTTTCCAAGTGCGGTTCAGACTTCTATGTCCAGGAAAATACCTTTCAGGAATGAAGATGAAATGATGACATTCCCAGATGAAGGACCTCTCTCTCTCTGCCAATTTTGCAACTTCCTGTGGCTCTATCGGGTTTCCCTGGTGGCTCAGTAGTAAAAAAAAACCCGCTTGCAATGCAGGGGATGTGGGTTTGATACCTGGGTCGGGAAGATCCCCTGGGGGAGGGCATGGTAACTCACTCCAGTACTCTTGCCTGGAAGAATCCCATGGACAGAGGAGCCTGGTGGGCTACAGTCCATGGGGTTGCAAAGAGTCGGACACGACCAATAACAACAAATGTCTGGGGCGAGGGCCTCAAAGCTGGGACGGCCAGGCCTCGGGGGCACTCAGTGGGACAGCAGCTCGCGGCCGTCACTGCCGTGATGCTGAGACAGACCGCCCCCGGGCATCGTAGCCCCCCCCTCCACACTCAGCTGTGGCTCCCCAGCTCCCCCAGTTCTGCCTCCTACCTCTGGGTGTCCCGTCTTCCCTGCCTTGGCACTCTGAGTGCAGCGGCGCCAGCCCCATTACAGTGGAAATAAGAGATGGAGGTGCACTTATAGGGCACCTACTGTGTGCTGGTCCCTGCTGGGCGCTGACACGCCACACCCGTGAAGGGGACACCTTCGCCCCTTCACGGATGAGGCATCTGAGGCCCAGCTGGAGGTGGCAGGAAGGGCTGCCACAGGAAGGGCTGGGATTTGAACCCAGGGCGGCCTGAAGCCAAGGGCTCCCCTCCCAACGCACAACTGGTCTTGCCTCTGCTTCTGCTTTGCCCGAGGTTGCTCTGTGCCGACTGTCTGCCACCACAGGGGAGGGGCGGGGGCAGCGGCGATGCTGGGGGGGGCCTGGAGACCACACAGGGGCTCCTGCGGGCTGAGGGTGACTGGGGCCGGGGCACCCACAGACCTCCGAGTGGGAGCCCGGCCCGGGCGCCTGGCTGCCAATGACTGCTCGCAGCCGTCAAACTGGGCTGTGCTAAAAACTGCCTCCCGCTGCAGGAGAGGACTTGTTAATTAATTAAATGACACTTTGGCTCCCTGCATGGCCAGTGAGTGAGAACGGCCCCCGTGGTTCAAGGATCTGGGGCGAGGCAGGAGGGCAGGAGGTGGGCGGCTCGGGTGGCGGGTCAGGCCGCCGGGGGCTCGCTGGGCAGAGGCCAGGCCCTTCTGCAGGCCTCGTGGCCACATGCAGCCCTCAGACACCGGGCGGGCACAGGCACGGGGCGGGGCGGGGCAGCGCCATCCTGCACACCATGCCCGCCCCCTCCTCCGAGGCAGGCCAGCCTGCCTCCTCATCTGGATGCTCCACCTCTGAGTGGCTGCTCCTGGTGGGTGGTCTGCCCCATGCCTGGCCATCGGGGTCTTCTCCGTCTTGGCCTGCACTGCCTCTTCCCTGCCCAGAGTGGGCATATGTCTGATCATCTCTAGTGTCCCCGTCACCCCTGACCTGGATCTGAGGCTTATCCCCCCAACTTGGTCTGTGGATGACCAAGGTGGGGTCACCCCTGAGCCGAGGCTTCCACAGGGGGTACGGCTCTGCTTGCCGATGGGTGTCAAGTTCTGGCCGAGGGCTCAGCCCAGGCTTGAGGGCAGGCCCTGTGCAGGGATCACCTCAGCACTCCTGTAGCCACCGGGCCCAGGCCCTCATCACCCACTGCCCCTCCTTCCTAGGAACAGAGCCCTGGGTCTGCAGTGGGGTAAGTAGCTGCCAGAATAAAGACTTCACTGCGGGGCAGCCCAAGTCTACTTTCTGACCAACAGGAATCATAGGAAGTGATGTGAACAACTTCTGGGAAGCACCTGTAAAGAGCAGAGCAGACCTCTTTTCTCCGCTTTGCCTTCCTGCTAGCCAGAAGACAGACACAACAGCTGGAGCTCAAGCAGTCACCTTGTACCATGGGGTGGAAGACTGTGTGGGCTGCAGGTGAGGATATGGCTGCTGATTCATCCTGCTCTGTGAAGGGGGTCAAGGCGTGAGGACAAGACAAAACAAGGAGAGTTGCAGAGAAGCAGAGCCGGAACCTTGATCACAGTTTGCCTGAAACCCATATTGTCTCCATTTACAGGGGTCAATCCATTCCCTTTACGGTTTAAGCCAGCTGAGATGGATTTCTGTTACAGTCCACTGAACCCCAAAAGATACTGTGGGGGAGACCATTGCTGTGAGAGAGACGTGCGGCTCAGCTGTCCTGCATGCGCAGGGTCCTGGGGAGGGAAAGGAGGCTGGGGCACTCAGGGCAGGCTTCCTGGAGGAGGAGGAGCACTTCTGGGGAGCAGATAAGGGCACTCCTTGGTGGGCGAGGGCGTGGGGGCTGAGCATGGGGTGGGCAGCCCTTCAGACGGGGGCAGAACTGGTGTCTCCTGGTTGCCAAGCCCACAACGCTGCCAGTCTCCATTCGGCCCAATTTAAATTTCGCAGATAGCATCTCACACCTTCCCTGGAGCTGTGAAAAGCACAGCATGACCTTTATACAATCCGAGCAGCTTTACTCCTCAGCCCCCCAGATTCTCCAGGGTACACGGGCTTGCCACTCCTGCCTCCTCCGGCCACACGCACATGCCAGGCAGGCACACACACACATGACAAACCCACGTGCTTGTGCTCTCATATCTGTGAGGTCTGCACACACGTCCTGTGTTTGCGTTTACATTCACACACACGAGTGCCCTCATGTGTGACCTGTGTGTGCACGCCGGCACGCCATACCCATGGCCATGCCCCCATGTACATACTTGTGGGTGCACACACTGACACAGGTGTGGTGCATGTGTGCATGCACGGGCTCTGTGCACGCACACACACACACACCAGCATACACACATGCATCTCAGTGCCTGCAGGGGTCCCAGGATCTCAGCACCTCCCCTCACTGCTGGCCAGGTGGGTCCAGACCCTGCTGGCTGTGCCAAGAGGTAGGGGTGCCACACTTTACGGGGCCATGGGGGGGTGAAGGTGAGGAAACCGTCTCCTACCCTCAGATCAGCACTTGGGCTCCAAGGGCAGGGAGAAGTCCTGGGTCTTTTCTCCTTGTATTGGTTGGGAAATAGCCTTTCCCACCTTCTCAGGGCCTGGGGAGCTGATGATCTTCACGCATCTAAATCTGGGGCCGGCAGGTCGCGGGCACCATGGGCACAAAGGAGGTCAGCCCAGGAGGGACAAGTTCCACAGCCCTGGCCCCATTTGTGACCCACATCGCCTGCCAGGGCACTCGGGGCATCGCCAGAGTGCATGCTGCGGTGAGCTTCCAGGAGTGGGGGTGGGTGGGGTGTGCTGAGACCAGACTCCCTACACAAACACACACACATGAACACACACACACACCCTGGCCCGGTGTCCTTGTAGACACCCCCCGGGCAAGCCCCCAGCCCCACTCCCTTCCCTCACCTGATCTGAGAAGCTGGGCTCCGGGCCTGTCCCGGGCAGGAGCCAGACCCCACAGCCCCTCGTGACGGCCCCGGGTGACCCCAGCACGGAGCCTCCGCTTCATCTCCCACACTGCACTCTGACCATCAGGGGCACCAGCTCCCTGCCCTTCCTGCCCCGCTGTTCTGTCCCACCCCCAGCTTTGGGGAAGACTGCAGAAACGGGAGGTCAAGGAATGCGGATGGCAGCGAAATGAAGTGACTGGCCCCAGGCCTCAGGAGCTCAAGGGGTCAGAGCCGGCGTTTGAGCCCGTCTGCCCACAGACACGCATGCAGGGCTCCCATCCCAGGACGCCAGCATCCCCAACCCCGAGCCCACTGGTCCTCACCACCAGCCAGCTTCACCGTCCGTCGCCTTGATGCTATGCCCTCCCTCTGGTAACTAGCGGCCCTCTCTGCCAGCCCAGCACCCGGCTGTCTGTGGGGTCACATGCCTCCCAGGACCGGAGCTCTCCCCAGGGCTCAGGTCCTCCAGCACACGGCCTCTGATCGGAGCCACGGGGCCCTGCTCCGGTGGCATGTGCGCCTCGCCAGGACCTCTGGGGTCCCACTCGTCCCGCCTGGTGCCCAGCATCATTCAGGCCCTGCTGACCCCACCCAGGTCCGCTCAGCTGGCTGCCTGTCCCCTCTCCAGACGAAGCAGTACCTAGCCCTCTTGGCTGGCTGGATCGGGTTTGGGCTGCCTGTTTGTTTATTTCTTCCCTCTTTGCATCTCACTCCTTTTTCTCCCTCTGAATTGGCGCGGAGTGGGGAATTCACCCTCCCGGTTCCCAACCCAGCACACGCGCCTCTCTGCGGCCTTAATTATCTAATTTGTAATATTTCATCTCCCCTCCCTTTCATCTCCCTCCGAACACCCCGACCGGTTAAAATAAATATGTATTTTTAATTCTGAGGCGCCTCATTTAATCTGGCAGGCGACGTTCCGCCACTCGCTGGTATGCATCTCCAGCTGTCACACTCCAGCCCCCCAGGCACAGCGGCCCCCCAACCCCTCCCCCAGGGGGCTGCAGGGAGAGAGGGCTCGGGGCCCTTGTGCCCAGGAGGCAGGCCCGAGACGGGCCGGCAGCGTGATGGCCCCGGGTGGCCCTTCCCGGGGAGGCCACAGGACACCACGAGGAATCCCAAGGCGGCTCCTGGACGTGAGCACGGGCCCCAGAAAGCCAGCCTAGGGCGTCCAGAGTCACTCCCCTGCCCCCTGCCGGGGCCTGGCCAGGCGCACGGGGAGGGCCTGCCCACCAGTAGGGAGAGGAGCCCCGGCCAGAAGCGGCTGCACCTTCCCTTCCGTGGGCATCTCCAGCCGCTCCGCCCTTTCACTTGTCCTGCTCAGCAGGTGGACCTCACCCGAGGTGGCTGCTCTCAGACCACGTGGAGGTCACTGGCACCCCCTCGAAACCCCCATCCCTGCCCCGGCCTGATCCGCTGCTCTCCCCTCCCCACCCACAGAGCTCCATGTGTCAGGCTTGACAGGGGAGGGGTGGCACCTGGCCTGCCTGCAGCAAGGGTACCCGGGAGGACAGGAAGCCAGAGCCCCAGCCCTGTACGCCCTGGCCAGGCCCGGCTCTGAAGGGGTTGGAGGGCTCATCCAGGGGCACCCAGAGCTCCTCTCTCCCAAAGGCCTGTTGGCACACGTTGCCTCTAAGCTGTTGGCTGAAGGTAATTTAATGTCCTTAAGTCAGTGGACATCTTGGCTCCTAAGTGAAGTCTTCCTGGCTGGTTGGTTTGTTCGTTCACTCACTCACTCACTGGGTCATTGGTCCACAGAGCATATGGCTGGTGAGGAAGGAGGCCCCAGGGATTCAGGAATGAGCTGTGTTGGAAGACGGGGTTCTGAACTAGCAAGGCTGGGAGCTCAGGGCTGAGGCAGTGGGTGTGAAACAAGCCCCCACCCGGGTCTCTCTCAGCCCCGCAGCTGCTGCTCCCACCAGTGCTCCGAGCAGGAGCTGAATCCAGGTGACACCCAGACCCGGGCCCGGCCCTGCCACCCTCCACCTTCCTACCACTCCTAGGGGCCGGCGGGCAGCAGGTCTGAATCTCTCCAGATCTACTCCACTGACCCGCTCCAGCTGACCTTTCCCTTGTCCCTTTCCGCTCAGCTTCCAAGGCCAATGGGGTCACCTGAAGGACCGGGAAAGATGAATGTAAACCACAGGAGATGCCCATCTGTGCCCCCAGACAGGACCTGCGCCAAGGACAGGAGAGGGGACAGCCAGCTCCCCTCCAGTGCATGCGCCCCAGGGCACATCCATGCTGGACAGGTCAAGCTTCATGTGCCCTTTGACCCAGACCTTGTCTTCCTGGATACACATCCTGGAGAAAGCCTACCCCATGGCCCCCAGGGGTCACCAGCAGGACAGGCCTCACAGCTTGATGCGGAGAAAGCTGCCAAGCACTGCTGGAAGCCCATCCCTGTGGCCACATCTAGGCAAAGAGAAGCTCTGGGAATGCGGTCGGGACAGAGGACAGGTGAAAAGCCCGAGGCCTGGTCCAGGGTGGAGCACCTCACAGATGGGAGGACGGGGAACCGTCACGTGTACTCACCCACAGACGGAGTCCAGTTGATCGCTGAAAGGAATTAGCCTGGGACACTGCCCACCCGTATCACCATGCACATGACCGGCACAGTGTGGATCAGTGCATGTGGCCTGGAGACATAAGGGAAGACGCAGAGGCGTGATTGAGTCCAACACGGGCAGAAGAGGGTCCTGCGTGCTAGGAGAGCCACAGAGAACTCACCCATGTTGGCGAGGCTTTCTACCCCTAAAGCCAGAAAGACCTCAGGGAAAACACTGAGCTCTGCTGAAGCTGGGTCCTGGGCTGGGGTCCGCCATCCGTGTGGCCCCCACACTTCTCAGCATATTTACACAACATTACGTGAGATGTATATGTTTTGAAAGAGAAACGGCATCCGTCCTCTGCAGCATGCAGATGTGGCACGCCGACGACTCAGCAGCCCTGGAGGCGCAGGTGGGCGTAGCCTTCCCCAAAGGGAGCAGGGGTGCCGGGGACCCATGGGGCGCCTTGACCATCAGGGGCGGCCGCCGCAGAGTGGGCTCCTCCTGGGCCCCCTGCAGACGACTTGACTGGCTGGTTCCCAAGGCCACCACTGCACATCTGAGCCCCTCTTCAGCATTCAGGGAGCCTCCCCAACCTGCCCAGGGGCCGTGGGTCCCCCTTTCTCTCTCCCTGAAGCACTGAGCCCGCCAGCTCCCAGGGGCACTCAAGTTGGTTGATTCTCAAAGGCTCCTTTGCAGCCCCAGCTCCCTCCCTGGGAAAGCATGAGCCTGGCTGGTGACACCTGTCAGGAGGGGCAGTACCCTGTGCGGGTGGGGTGCACTGAAGACTTCCATACCAGCAGACCCATTCTGTACACCATTAGGATCACCACTGTCCTCACCACAGCATCACCACCACCACCATCTCCCCCACTGTCTCCACCACCACCACTGTCTCTACCATCACCACCACCATCATCACCACCACTATCATCACCACCACTAGCAGAACCATCACCACCACCATCTCCCCCACTGTCTCCATCACCACCACCATCGTCTCTACCACCACCACCACCATCTCCCCCACTGTCTCCACCACCACCACTGTCTCTACCATCACCACCACCATCATCACCACCACTATCATCACCACCACTAGCAGAACCATCACCACCACAATCTCCCCCACTGTCTCCATCACCACCACCATCGTCTCTACCACCACCACCACCATCTCCACCACTGTCTCCATCACCACTACCACCGTCTCTACCATCACCACCACCATCATCACCACCACTAGCAGAACCATCACCACCACCATCTCCACCACCGTCTCCATCACCACCACCACTGTCTCTACCATCACCACCACCATCATAACCACCACTATCATCACCACCACTAGCAGAACCATCACCACCACCATCTCCCCCACTGTCTCCATCACCACCACCATCGTCTCTACCATCACCACCACCACCATCACCACCACCACCATCTCTGCCACCACCACCACCTCTACCATCTCCCCCACCACCACCATCTCCACCACGACCAGCAGAACCATCTCTACCACCATCACCATGACCACCACCAGCACCATCTCCACCACCAGCACCACGTCGGCCACCAGCACCATCACCACCATCTCCACCACCAGCACCATCTCCACCACAAACACCACCACTCCGCTCTTTCACTAGGTTCTGGGTAGAGGACCATGCCAGTCAGGGCAGGCCGTTGAACAGCCAAGCCTGCTGAGAGTCAGTTGGGAAGAGCAGGGAGGATGTGCAGGACTGAGACCCTTGCCGTGGTCCTTGTGTGTCATGTGACTTTGCACAACTGACTTGCCATCTCTGAGCCTCAGTTTCCCCACCTGTAAGAGTAGAATCATGCTCCCTGACCTGTCTATTTATCAGTGTTGTTTTGAGAGTGAAATAAATGGAACTATCTGAAGGTGTTCGGTAAATTTTAAAGTCCTGAGCATTTCTTCTCAGCATATAAAGTCCATTTCCCTCTCTCGGCCCCCTTTCCAGCAACCACATACTCGCCGGGTCTTGGGAGTGCTGTGGTTCCAGGAACCAATTCCAGGAGCTGGAAGATGGATGCCACCTTTGACTGGAATACAAACATGTGAGTGCACATGCAAATCCCCCGAGATCCTCTGGGAGAGCCCTACCCAGCCCTGGCTGGGCTGCCGTGCCCTGGTCTGGTTCAGGACAAGCAGTGGGGGCACAGGGCTGAGGGGTCTTGGCAGAAGGAGAGGCTTGGAAACCTCTGCCCGTGACAGAGAACCCAGCAGGTCAGTGTGCTCACCACACCTCTGCTCCACATGGTATCCACATGTCTTCCGGAGGTGCCAGCCTCCCTCCCGTCATCTCAGATGTGGCAACCGTCCCACTCCACGACCCGCTTCTCGCTCTTCCCTTCCGCCTTCCCAGCACTTTCCACAGGGGCTCTTGCAGGCCCTGGGCTCCAAGAGAGAGACCAACAAGAGCCCATGCCCCCAGTCCCATCTCCCACCTCACAGTCCCAGGGAGCCACCCGATGGACTGGGGGTCAGAGGCCCTCCCTGAGAGACGTGGTGTGGAGCTGTGTGTCTCCATCCTCCGCACGCCTGTCCGTCTGGCCGTGCAGCACCCAGGCTGGAGTGTCCTGCGGAGCCCAGGCCAGGCCTCCATCCAGCGGCAGCTGGAGCTCATGAGGCCACCTGGTGGAGCCATGGTGATGGGACTTCAGGGCCCCGGGGTGGGGGGGGGACCCACGTGGAAACCTAAGTGGTGGCCAGGTTCTCTGTGGGCGCCAGGGCCTCCTTGGCCCTCAGAGGCCATGAGAGCTGGGGAGTGTGCCTGTCTCGGGGAACTGGGCAGGGCACTGGGTCATGGGGAAGAACTCGGCCTATGACCCAGAGGGGCAAGGGGGCTGATTCATCACCCATGCCGCTAGGAGCCCGCTGGGCACCAAGTGTGGCAGGCGAGTGTGCAGAGCCGGCCAGACCACCTCAAGCCTTGGCTCCGTTGGCTCTGTGATCTCTACTATTGTCTGTATTGATTTTCACTGCACTGTTTATTCAACGCTTAATCTCCGTGCACTGAAAGCTCCCAGAGCAGCGCCGTGTCCGCCCTCCCAAGGGCTCGCTCAGCCCAGAGGAGGACCTGACAGAGGCCAGGCGCTGCTGGTGGGCCTGCTCTGGGATCCAGCACTGCAGGGCTGGGGCACACAGGTGCCAGCCCGTAAGAGGGGTCCAATAAAACCTGTCAAGTGGCCACAGTGGATGTCCATCCTCAGGGGTGACCAGGGAGGGTCGGGGCTCAGTCAGGATGGTGAGGACTGGAAATGGCGCTTTGGAAGTGTCCAGGGTTCGAGCCAGGAGCTACACATAAGGATCCCGCCTTCCCTGTCTGAGCTGTCAATCTCGAAGACTCTCCCTCTCTTTGAAGAACAAGTCCATGACTCGAGGTCCCACCTGGTTAGAGGAAAGACTTTGGTGTCAATCCTGGCTGTGTGAGCTCAGGCCAGTCACATCCCTTCTCTGAGCCACAAGATTTCCCACTTCCAAGCGGCACCACGCCTTGTAGCCCCTGGAGGTTGCAGAAGGAGACAGAGAGTGGAGTGGCCTTGGCCAGCATGGCTGCTGCGGACATGTGGGGAGCATGGCCACCAGGCTGCCCACTTGTCGGGTCTCGGAGACCCTAACGGCTCCACAGCGGGCCCCAGCCCGGACCCTCACAGCAGCAGCAGCAGCAGCAGCAATGCCCGTTATGGGCTGGAGCCTCCTCGCCTCTCCCTGACCTGCATTTCCTCGGCCCTGCCTCCCACGGGGGTGTTAGGAAAACCCGCCAATCGCACCCGGTTCTCACCCGAGAGTTGTGAGAACGAGTGGTTGAAAATAGCCTGAAGCCACCCCGGCCTCCTCCTCCCCAGGGAGGGCAGGGCGGGCGAGGGGTGCCGGGGAGCAGGCAGGGCACTCCGGTTACATAAGCTCAGTGTCCCAGGCTCCCCAGGAGAAGGCCGAGGACTCAGCCGCATGGCCAGGAAACCAGCATCCAGAGCCCAGGCTGTGGGCCCCTCAGGCCTGCGGAAGGCAGCTGGCCACGCAGACTGAGGACTGGGGCCTGAGGGCTGGGTAGAAAAACTCTTCAAGCACTTGGTCCCAAGTCCCCCAGACAGAAGACCCACTCCCCCCAGAAGTCTGCCTGGGTCCTGCCTGATGGGTTCAGCCGGCGCCTTCACCCCTCCGCACCTTCCCTGCAGAAGGGCAGTCCCGGCCCCAAGCTGGGCTCAGCAGGGTCCAAAGTGGGACTGGCTGCTCCCTGGCTCTGCCCCTGCCCATCTGCTCCCCGCTCAGGAGGCATGGCCCCCTCCTGGGTACCCACACCCCAGCACCACCTGGGCTTTGACACCAGCCAGGCAAGAAAGTGTCTTGCCTGGCTGAAAGCACCCTGCCAGGGGGCCTCCAGCTTTCCAGCCTGGTGTCCACCACCCCAATTGCCAAGTGGACCCCTCCATCTGAGATTTCCGCATCAGGCACGCCTGGCGTTAGGCAGAGGTGGGGAGCAGAGGTTGGATGGAGGGGGGGTCGAGGCTGCAGCAAGAGGGCTTGAGGTCAGGCACTGGAGGAGCTTCCAAAGGGCGAGGGTTGTAACTGCTGGCGTCCCGGGCAGCTTTCCCCCCCACCTCCTGCCCTGCCAGCCCCAGGCCCAACACTCAGCCTAGCTGTGGGTGGTGGCCAGGGGCCCACGGGGCAGGGCCACACTGAGGGCGTGCATGGTGGCCCATAGGACACTGGTTCCATGGCACCGAGGCAGGTGGCAGGAGCTGAAGGCCCTGGGGCCAGAGGGGGACGAAGCCGTGGGCAGCCTACCGCCATCTGCCACCATCACGCGCGCTGACCCCGAGGGGTTGGAGGCAGGGGTCCCACCCTGTGGCTGTGCTGAGTCAGTGTGGAGAAGCAGGTGGGAGGGGGCAGGAGCTGGGCCCGGGCCAGGAGGTTTGGCACCAGAGAGCAGGAAAACTGGGGCTCTGACGTGGAGCCCGCACCTCCATCGGAATTGGCCATCTGTGCCAGGCCCGCCTTGATTTACTCACTCGATCCTGACAAAGACCACACAGGGGGTGCCTTTATTGTCCCCAGAACACAGATTAAAGCAGGCACAGAGGAGGTAAGTAGCCTGAGGTCACACAGCTAGAAGGTGGGGCCGTCAGGATACAAGCCAGTCCCGTCTGGATGCAGCCACTGCGCCGATCTGCCCTGAGGACTCCCCACTCTCACCTGGAGCCCGACGTGGGGAACGGGCGGTGCCAGGTGGCTCACCAGCTCTGCAGCGGAGTCTGTAGCCACAGCTCACGTGCTCATTGGAGTCCAGTTAATGACAAATCTCAGGTCCCCTCCAGCCTGGAGCCCTCCTCAGGGGGAGCCTCGGGACTCCTAGAGGCCAGTCCCCTGCAGGGATGACAGGCCACCATGCAATAGGGCAGTCACCAGCCACACGTGGTTATTTAAGGTGAAACTAGTGAAAAGTAAGTAAAATTAAAGCTTCAGTTCCTCGGGCACACGAGCCTCATTCCTGACGCTCAGCAGCCACACGTGGCCAGGGGCAGGTGTTCTGGTCAGCCCGCACAGAACACGGCCACCACCCATCCTGTTGGCCAGCTCTGTAGGGCCATCTGGAGACCAGCCTTCTCTGCCTTTTGCGCCCACCCCCACCCCGGTGCCCCTGCCCCAGGAGTGAGCAGCCTGAGCAGGGTGGGTGTGGAAGTCGGTCCCCCAGGTCCTCTCACTGCTGGACTCCGGCTGCTCATGCTGATTCTGGCCCTGAACTTGGTCTCCAGGATACAGACCCCAGCTGGGTCGCTGCTGTGTGTGCAGACCTGGCCGGGGCTGGGGCAGGACGATGGTCCGCGGAGGACTGTGGACGTCTCGGAATGGGAGCTGACTGCCCACCTGCCCGGGCCCACCTATGCTGGCCCCGCCACCCCGTCACCCAGCTCTGGGCTGGCCGGGGGTGCAGGAGGGTTGGTCGCTGTCACTGGGCCCGGGGAGCGCCTTGGCCTGTCTGCTTGCAGGTGGGCTGAGATGTCTGGGGTGTCTCGGGGGCCATGCCTACCAAGGGGGAGATCACCGGAGGGTGATCCATGGCTCCATGGATCCAGGCTCCATGGGAGCCTGTGGCCAGCTAGAGGAGCTGGGAGCCCTGGCCTCGCTTCCTTCCTCCTCAGGCATCCCTCTTCTTTTCCATCTCCTCACAGTCACGTAGCCTGGAGAGTCCAGGGCTGAGCGGGTGGGCAGCAGGGGAGCCAGAAGGTGGAGTGGCCACAGGGCGGGGCCTCGTTCTGCTGAGTGGCAGTGCAGGCCCTGCGTGTCCTGGCTGGGAGGCGGACGCTGGCATGTTGCATCCACAACTAATTACATGCATGTGAATCAACTGATTACTCACCCTGCTCTTCCCCACCCCACACCTACTCTCTGGCTTACAACGTCCACCAAGTGGCTGGACAGGGCCACGATGTCCCCAGGCTAGGACCCCTGCCCTGGCCCCTCCAGCCAGCCCTCAGGCGCCTCTGAAGGCCGGGGAAGGGGTGCCAGGTGCTGCAGGCCCTCGCTCTGCCTTGGTGCCAGGAGGCTGGGTGGGGAGACCAGGACTTAGGGGGCTCTGCTTTAGAGCATCCCAGGCCTCCCCGTGACCGCAGGTAAACCCTCACGTCTTCCCAGAGAGGGGCCGGTCCTGTGTGAGAATGGCTGGAAACAGATATGACCCCGAGGTAGGCTTTCTGCTGCTCCACTGGGGGTCCTCCTAGCCCCTGCACACACAAAGTTTCTATTTCTCATTCCTCGGGGATGCCTTAGCGTGTACACTCAGGCTTGGGAATAAAGAGCTGAATGGGTAAAGTGCCATGAGGACAAGGCTCAGTGGGACCAGGCTGGGGCTTCAACATCTGACCAGGGTCAGGGCTCAGAGTGGGACCAGGGTCAGGGCTCAGAGTGGGACCGGGGTCAGGGCTCAGAATGGGACCGGGGTCAGGGCTCGGAGTGGGACCGGGGTCAGGGGTCGGAGTGGGACCAGGGTCAGGGCTCAGAGTGGGACCGGGGTCAGAACTCAGAGTGGGACCAGGATCAGGGCTCAGAATGGGACTGGGGTCAGGGCTCAGAATGGGACCGGGGTCAGGGCTCAGAGTGGAACCGGGGTCAGAACTCAGAGTGTGACCAAAATCAGGGCTCAAAGTGGGACCAGGGTCAGGGCTCAGAGTGGGACCAGGGTCAGGGCTCAGAGTGGGACCAGGGTCAGGGCTCAGAGTGGGACCGGGGTCAGGGGTCGGAGTGGGACCAGGGTCAGGGCTCGGAGTGGGACCAGGGTCGGGGTCATAGTGGGACCAGGGTCAGAACTCAGAGTGTGACCAGGGTCAGGGCTCAGAGTGTGACCGGGGTCTGGGCTCAGAGTGTGACCAGGGTCAGGGCTCAGAGTGGGACCGGGGTCTGGGCTCAGAGTGTGACCAGGGTCAGGGCTCGGAGTGCACCCGGGGTCAGGGCTCGGAGTGGGACTGGCGTCAGGGCTTGGAGTGGGACCAGTTACAGGGCTCAGTGTTGAGTAGGGTCAGTGGTCAGTGAGTCGATGGCTATGGTCAGTGTGTGGTTTATGGCCATGAAATTTAATATGCTCCCTCTGGGGCTGAGTGAAGAGGTACCAGGACTTGGTGCCCAGCTGGATAAGGCTGACCTGGCATGGGTCCATCAGCTTCAACCTCCTGTGCTGAGGCCACTTTGGACTACTACAGGCTGTGTCCCGCCCCCGTGTGTGTGTGGCCGTGGGGATTGTACAAGCTTTGGTGGAGAATGCTGGCGGTTAACTGGGAGCAAACTTCAGGAACAGTGGTCCTTGGCTCAGAAGTGTAGAATCCTGAGATGTCTGGGCCGCAAGAAAACCCCACCCCCTTCTGTCACGGTCTCCATGCACCCCCAGGGCTGCTGAAGCCACAGCGGGCCCAGGCCCGTGCAACTCTGTTTTAGGACCTCAGCTGGGTGTGGGCCTGGGGAGTGGATAGGATTCCCTGTGCCGCAATCCCAGGGCCCTGCTGACCCTGCTCCCTCCTTGAGGAGCAGGGTCAGACGGCCTATCTCCTCTAGGAGAGGAACTGTCTGGGGTCTGGTCAGGAACTGGGGTGAGGAGACCCTTTTCTAGAAAGGACCAAGAGTGGAGGGAGGCGAGGAGGGGCAGACAGGGCCGGCTGAGAAGTCCCGTCTCAGGGGACATCGCTTCGCACCAGATGGCCTGAGTGGAGGGGACCCCAGCCTTGCCCTGGGAACCCCCAGCGGGGGTCCCAGAGCAGAGGAGCGTGGGATGGCTGCTACCTTCCGCCATGGGCGCGAGGAGGGCTGGTGGCAAAGCGGCAGCTGAAATCCTGACTCAGAGCTGCGGGCACCCTTGGCGCGGTCCATGGCCTAATAGCAAAAGCCCCCTGGTGGCCACGGGCTGCTAGTGCAGGAAGGAGAGCAAAGACAAGGCTGAGGCCCTGAGGGCCTGGGTGGGGAGAGGTGGGAGATACAGCCCCCAGGGGCAGCGCCTCTGCCTCCTCCCTCAGTTCAAAGGCTCTGGGGAGCAGGTCCTCTCCCCCGGATGGAGAGGGATACGGCTGCCCTGGGGGCGGACTGGGAAAGGGGCCTCCTCTGCCCTCCGATTGCCTTGGGGACCGTGTCTACCTAGCTCTTCCGCGGAGCCCTTCAGGATGCCCCCTATAGAGGCTCAGTCCACAGCCTGTCCTTTCCAGAGGGACTGGTCTGCACGGAGCTGCCCCTGAAGAGGTGAGCCACGTGCTGTTGCGGGTGATAGTGCTGTAGAGACCCCGCTCGGGGGTTACGGTGATGGCCACGGGGAGAACTGTGCGGGGCTGCATGCTGACGTTCAGGCTGAGAATGGTGACAGCGACTGTGAATTAATGGTTGATGGTGACAGTGATGACACCCTGATGGAGCCTTCTGGGAAGAAGCTAAAAAAAGCCGACAGTTGGACCAGATGTTGGGCTTGGGCCGCAAAGGCATTGGTGGCCTGCTAAGACAAGAAATGTGTATATGATTGCATATTCAGGAAGACTCAATGAGGATTTTGCATTCAGAGTGGACCGCAAGTTATGAAAAAGAAGCAAGGGGCTGGAAGGCATAGACGTCCTAGTAGAGAAGGACCCTGAAGTAATCTCCCTGAGGTCCTTTCTCCAAGATGCTGTGTTTCATTTTAGGGAGGCCCCCTGTGGGTATCTGGCCAAAGGTCTCAAAAGAAGGGGGACTATGGTCACTTTAAGATGAGAGATGAAGCAGCTAAAGGGGCGTCTCCCCCAGTTTATGGAAAAACAAAACCTGCATATGGGACTGGGATGTTCCCACTGTCACCAAGTCAAAGGAGGATGCATGGAGGATATGAATGTGGACGAAACCACTGAGGACAGCCCCTCAGGGTAAGTGGTGCTTCTAACCCTGGGGGCTCTTCTCTCAAGCCCCTCCCTCAGCACCTCTCAGAACAGAGCCCCCTGAGGAAAGACTGGACAAACCCAACCTGAGCCGTTCCAGCTGGGCCTTCCCATGTCCGCCAACCTCTGAGGCTCACTGATGCGGTCCAGGGTCTGTGCTTCGGTCAATGTCTTCTGCCCTCACCCCATCTCCCGTCCAACCCGCCCACCCTGCCTCTGCACCTAGCCACGCACCGTCCTTGCAACTGAACGGCCCAGCCATTTCTTCAGCCCTCCACTCAGGTGCCATCCACCCAGTTATGCCCCCACCTAGCCTGCCCATCTTCTTCCACCTGGTTCCTCCACCCATACACCCACCCTCCATCCCTCCATCCACCACGCCGCCCATCTCTCTAGGCATCTGTTCTTCCACCCATCCCCTCCCGCACCTCCTCGACCGAAGCCCACTTACCTCATCCGCCCTTCCACCCAGCCTGTCCTCTGCGCCCTGTCGGGGCACAACCCCGTACAACTTCCTTCCCTCCATCCATCTGCCCTGCCTGTCCATCCACCCACCCGTCCACTAGCCCAGTCGGCCCGCGGCAGCCACTCCTCGGTTCCCGGGAGAGGCAGAGAGCTGAGACCCAACTCCTGGTGTTGCTGCTGCTCGGGTCTGGCGCAGGGCTTCCCCCGGTGCGCGCGTGTGCGCGTTTATCCTCCCCCCCGCCCCGCCCCCTCTCCCCTCCCCCACACCCCGCCCCCCGCTCGCGCTCCCCTCTCGTGTGTGATCTGGAAGCTCTAGAAAGCCTGATGTAATCCGTAATGCAGTCTCTGGCTCCCGATTCGGGATCCAGTTTCAGAGCGAGAGATTGGGGAGCGCCGGCAGCCCGGTGGGGGAAGGAGCCCGCCTCTCTCCTCCTCCTTCTCGCCGTCCTCGGCCTCCTCCTCCCGGTCCCCGCGCCGCCCCGCCCCCGGCTCGGCTCGGCTCGCCCCCCCTCCTCAGGAAGGGGAAAAAAGGCGAGAGGAGCGGGCCAGGAGAGAGGAGCCGAGCGGCGGCGGCGGCGGCCGGAGAGGGAGCGGCGGGCGCGGCGTTGGCGGCGGCCCCGGCGGAACGAGCGTGGAGCCGGCGAGCCGGTAGCACAGGCGGCCGCGCCGCGTACTGGCCGGGCCCGGGCCCGCGCGCCCCGCATCGCCCGCAGCCCGGGCATCCGGACCTCCCGGGCGTCCGGGGGGCGCCGGCAGGCGGGGGGAGGGGAGGGGACCTGCGCGCGCCGGCGAGTGCGCTTCCCGGGGGCGTCCCGGCTAGGCCTGGAGCGGGCCGGGGGCGGCGGCGGCAGGAGGAGCCCCCGCTCCGGTCGGGCGCCCGTCTCGGCCGCCGGCGACGCGGGGCGCTCCTGGGGATTTGCAACTCGCCCGATCAAGTCTTCGCCAGCGGTGCCGCTGCTGCCGGGGAAGGTAAGGAAGGCTCTGGAGGGGGGCTGGGGACTGGGGGCGCGGCGAGAGGGGGCGCAGCGAGGGTGGGAGGGGGTCGGGGTCGGGGCGGTCGCCCGGACTTCCTAACTTCGCCGTTTGGGGCTTCGTAGCTCCGAGGTTGGAGCTCCGAGCTCGGACCACCCCCCCCGCCCCCGCCCCCTGCCTCCTCCGGCGGCGGCGACGGAATCTGGCAGATCTCCGCGCGCCCGCACCGGGCGGGTTGAGGAGGGGGCGACCTGGACGTGGGAGAGGCTCCTCGGCGCTGCTCGGCTCCCCCGAATCCACACACCCGCAGCCTGGCCGGGGTGGCAGGCCGGGCTGAGGAAGACAGCCCTCCCCGTCACATGCACAGAGCCAGGGCCGGCTGGGGAAGGCGTTCCCCCTTGTGTCCACGACCCACACGGGCGCTGGCAGGGGTCTCGGGAACCCCAGAGGTGCCCCGCAGCCACACACTGACCCAGGTAGGTTCAGGAGAGACACCCCGGTGTGTCCCCCTTCCCCTCATCACACCTAGAGCCCCTAAACCCCTGTAGGGACCTGAGATGTCCTCCCCACACGCACAGGCTCTCCCTCGCAGCCTCCGGTAGACGCGGCACCGGCGGTGGACACTCCCTGGAGGTGCTCTTTCCCCCAGATGGTCAGAGGGCTACCCTAGCACTGTCCGGCCCCCTACACACACACACACACACACACACACACACACACACACACACTACCGAACGCCCTGATTCGTTCCATTCTGATCTTTTCCACTCGTTCGGACAGGCCGCGCGGATACGCGGATCCGAACTTTGCGTCGGCCCTGCGCCCTCTCCGCGGGAAGCGGCGAGGCCGGGCGCCGGGCACTCCTCGGTCCCCATTCCCAGCGGGCCGAGGCCGCCGGCCCTCATCGGCCGCCGCGCAGCTGTCTCGAGGAACTAGCCTGGCCCTCGCTCCCTCCCGGGCAGGTTGGGGCTCTGGGCCCGGCCGGCCGCCCTCTCCCGCTAGTCCCCGCGGCCCCCTGGGCAGGGCACAGCGCGCCTCGGGCCTGCTTCGGGAGGGCACGGCGGAGCTGAAAATCGCCGCGAAGCTTGGTAGCCGGGAAGGCTTGTCAGAGGATGCGGCTCTGAGCCCGGGGACCACTGCCGGGTGCGGCGGCTCCCGCTGGGTCACTTCCTAGGCAGCTCAGAGGGAGCGCCCGTTCCGGCACCCCGACCCCGGCCCGCTGGGACCCTTACCCTCCCCACTTTTATTTTCGCCTTTCAAGTTTCTTGGCGTGCAGGGAGCCAGGATGGAGCCGGACGAGTCCTAACCCACCCCTGCTTCAGCGCCCTTTCCCTCCGCGCGCTCCCGTCACGTCCCTTTCATTCCCCGGGGTCAGGGCCGAGAATTCCTTAGCAGCAACTCCCGAGGAGTTGAAATGTGTGCAGGTGTGTGGGTGGGCAGGGGGCGCGCACCCCCCGCCCCAGGCAGCCAATTGGCAAACGTATTGGGAAGGGGGCTGGGAGATCTGCGCTCCCAACCCACCCTCGGGACCTAAGGGGACCCCCAGCGCCTTCCCCCACAGACACAAACACACGCCCCCTCCGAGCAGCGGCCGCGCGGGCGGGGTTGGGAGCGAACGGGAGGCCGGGGTCTCTTTTCATATCCGGAGGTGGAATACCGTGTATTTGGGGTCTGAGGAGGCGGCCATAGCATCTACTAGAGCCTGCAGCTTTCTATTCCTCGGCGACCCCCGCCGCCGCCGAGGCAGCGAGGGAGGTCGAAGGAGAGAGCCTCCCTCGCCCCCGCAGGCGGCCGCGAAACTCTGCGTCCGGACGCCCGGGTGCCGCCGGGTCCGGCTTTGAGGACCCCAGCAAGGTCAAGAAGACGAAGGAGGGGGTGGGGGCTCCCGGGCGCGCCCCCGCTCGCGCAGTGTCAGGGCCGCTCAAGGGGTGGGGGCCGCTAGCCGATCAGCCCGGACCGCCCGCCGCCCGCGCCGCGTCCCCGGAGGCGGACGTTGCGCGCGTTCCGGGATCTCGGAGCGCCCAGCCCCGCGCCCTTCCTCCCGGCTCGCTCGCTCTTGTTCGGCGCTGCTTTCAGACTTGTTGCGCCTGGATCTGGGGGGCGGGGGGCCGGCCTGGGAGTCCCGGAACCCGGGCAGCGGGAGGCCGAGAGCGAGGCCGGCGGGAATGCGCCAAGGCGGCGCGCGGCTCCGCCGGCGGGCGCGGCGCGGAGGCTCGAGCGCGGAGTTTGCCGCCTCCGATCCCGGGGAAGGGCGCTTGTCCCCGCCGCGCTCCCGCGCGGGGGCGGGAAAGGGGATTCGCCGCCCTCGGTATCACGTCTCTCTGCTCCAGACCCAGGGCCGGGAGGGGACGCAGCCAAGTTGGGGGGCCCTGCCTCGCCCGCAGGCTCCGGCCCCTCTCCGGCCTCGGTGGCCGCGTCCGTGAAATGGGGGCGAGGGGGAGGCTCTGGGGGTCCTTCCGGCCCAGGCCCTCGGCGCTCTGCCGGACATCCGATGCGCTGGGCCCGTAGCGTGCTGGGCCCGCAGCGTCCCGGCCGGCCGGGTCCGGAGGCAGCTGAGCGCCTGCGGACGCGCGGCCTCGGGGCCAGGCAGGAGGCGGCCTCGGCGGGTCCGGACGAGCGGCAGGGCGCGGGCAACCTCCCTCGGCATTCTCGCCCCCTGGCCGGCCCACCTGGCCCGGGCCCGCCTCCGGAGCGGGTCCTGGGGGCGAGTCCGCCCCCCGGGGACGCCTCCAGCTCCGGCCGGGGCGGCGGGCGCGGGGCTGCGGTGGCGGCGGCGGCGACGGAGGGCGGCGCGCTGCCCCTAGCGGCCGAGAGAGGGCGCCCGCGCCACCGGCCGCCTGCCCGCCCCTTCCGTCTTGTCCGCCGCCCGGGCGCCCGCCCCATCCCTGCAGCCCGGCCGCCCCCGCCTCTAGACTCCCTCGTCAGGGCCCGAGCGCAGTCAGCCGCCTCCCCGCACTCGCCGTGCCTGCGTGCTCGGTGCACGGGCGTGAGGAGCGAGTTTGGGTACCTGTGTGCCACGCGTGCACGTGCGTGTCCGGCCGGCAGGTTGGCGGCTTGTGTGGGTAGGCACGCAGACTGCCACACGTGTGTGCGTGCGCGGAGCAGATCTGTGTCAATGCGCGCCTGGGAGGGCAGGATTGAATCTAACCACGTTTTACCTCTGATGGGTCCTGTGGTGGTGTGCGAGCGGTGGCCCCCTCAAGCCCTAAACCCGGAGCGCTGGTTAGCTTCATGCATCCCTGCTGACCCACTCTGTCCCACTGTCCTCTGGAACTCTCTGGCCCCCAGCCTGCGTGGCTGTGGCCGTGCTACCGGTCAGAGCTGCGATTTCTGGGTAGACACATGGCCCGGATACCCTTGTGTATAGCCTGCACACACGTAGTGAAAGTACAGGTGCCCACGTGGACACATGTGCACTGGGAGTGCAGCCTGAGCAAGGCAGATGGCGTGCCCCACCATGTGACGGCTAGTGGGAATAAGGGAGGAAAGAGACCCTGCTCAGCTCAGCGAATGGGCTCTGGGGTAGAAGGAGGCCAGAGGCGGGGGTCTCCGAGAGACCTCTATGGGGAATGGCAGCTAAACCAGGAGAAGAGGCGTGGGAGTGGTGAGGATGGTCTTGCACGGGAGCAGCCATGCAAAGGCCCTGTGGCAGGTGTGAGGCGTAGGCAGCTTGTGTGCAGGAGCTAGAGAGGAGATGAACAGCAGGACCGGGGCTCCAGAGGGAAGGGGGCCAGAACCCAGGGCCCTGTAGGCCTTGGACTGTGTCTTGGGAGTGGTGGGGACTACGGCAGGGGGGGTGGTCCTAGACTGAGGTGGTGACCTGCCCCAATGGCCAGAGATGTTAGGTGCTCCTGGGAACAGCCCCCGCCCACAAGCACGCTGGACTCCAGGCTCCTCTTGTCATCCTGACACCACCCAAGACCCCCGTCAGAGTCTACCACAAACAGACCCACAACACAGCACAGAATATGAGTGTGCACTGCCCTGGAAGCTGGGCCCCGTGGTGGACATTCATGTCTGGGGCTGTGGCATTGCTCCAAGGATACCGTGCAGAGGGTGCTGGGGGAACCCCTCTTCCTGCCCTTCATTGTTGGAAAGCAAGGCCCAAGAGGGGAAGAGCTTCCTGCTGATTCCAAGCCTGGGCCTCAGAGGCAGAGCACAGAGGCACGAGCCCTCCTTTGCAGGGCGAGACGCAGCGGGAGACCCAGGACCCTTGGCTGTGGCTGCACGTAAACCCCTGGGTTCGGACCCCTTTCTGCCTGAGCATCTGGAGCCTTCCCTGCACCCAGTGTCCCCCTGGCTCACAGGGTAGCGGGAACCGGGGCTCCTTCCTGCCTGCAGCCACCATCCTCTCCCCTTTTTCTTATTAATTCATTTCTACTTGGGCTTCCCAGGGGACACTAGTGGTAAAGAACCTGCCTGCCAGTTCAGGAGACATAAGAGATGTGGGTTCGATCCCTGGGTTGGGGAGATCCCCTGGAGGAGGTCATGGCAACCCACTCCAGTATTCTTATCTGGAGCATCCCCTGGACAGAGGAGCCTGGAGGACTGCCACCCATGAGGTGCAGTTAGACACGACTGAGCGACTTTGTATGCACGCACCTGAAGGTGACAAGCAACGGGAGCAACCCCAAAGGGCTAGAGCACGAGGGGGTCTCCTCACCCTAGACCCCAGGTCCTCCTGTTAACATGTCCCTGCCATCCTTCCAGACTGTTCTGTGCCTTTACAAGCATAACCGTGTGTGTCCTGTAAGTGCTTTAGACAAACGGAATCCGTCTGCATGCGGCAGGGGACCCTGGCTCACCCCTCGACCGTCTCATCCTCAACACTCACTCCCACTGTTGCCCCCACACCTCCTCCCCCTCACCTCCCCATCCCCCACAGCACTCCCACCCTTGCCTCTGACTTCCCAGCGTGTCCCTGCCTGTGGGGTCTGTGGGCATCCTCCAGGGCTCACTTGGCGGGCGGGGGGGGAGGGGGGGTATGGACTGGTCCTTGCTGAGTGACTGGGTGGCTGCGGGACCAGAGAGGCCTCCAGGGCAGGCGGTTTCCAGGGCCTCAGAAGCTGTGATGGATGGTGAGATGAGGGCCAGGTGGCCCCCGTCCCCCACGGGGTGGCTGGTTTTGGGGGTGCTGACTCTCAGCTGGGACACGGCTGAGGGGTCCCTGAGGTGGGAGGAGAGGCGGAGGACCTGAGTAGCTGGCAGGCAGGGGCCTCGGAACTCCATGCGTGGCCCA